AACTTTCACTTGAATATCAGAAATGCGGCTATTTATTAGGTAATAGTTTATTGGTTATTTAGATGATCTCCCCTGCTATTAATACGTTACGTTTATTTAACACATTCAAAGATAATTTGTTAATTGTTCTATTTTTACTCTGGGTTTTAAATTTAGATTTCTTCTCATGCAGTTTAAGGTACATTAACGTTTTTTTTTTACAAGCAGCTGATTTGATAATTACTTAAATATATTTAATATATGGCAGGAACGAATACAACTATATTTGATCAACTAATAGGGTTAACAAAACCATTTGAAAGCACTTATAAAACACAAATAAAATATGTTTATTAAAAACAGCGACACTGCTAATCATTTCCATATATTTATTTAGCTGGCAAGCCAAATTAAATATTTTACTTTAAAAAAGTAGTTGTATTATTTGTCATGAAGACGTGCAAGTTTTATTTTAATTTTAATCACTCGTGTGATTGAGAAATCAACGTGTTTTTTGGTTATTTACTTGAACATTATAGCGAAGTTTCTTTGCTACTAATTTAAAACTACTCTAAAATGTCCTATATCTATAAGTCGAGTTCGATATACTCTAAAATATATCTAACTGGTTATATTATACCAAAATTTTTATTGTTTATCAACTTTAAGTGTTTTGTTAAACAAATATTTTATTTATTAGTAATAATATAATATTTCGTTTTTAAACGAACTATTTTTTTAGAGTATATTTTATTTTTAAGGTCAACTATGTACAGAAAATTGACCAAGCCTTGAACTAATTAAATATTTTAGGGCAATAATAAATTGTACACCTTGTACGAGATTCGTTTTATTTAACTAAACAGCTTCAAGCCGATACCTTTTAATGAATAGGAAATCTTCAATAAATCCAGGAACAATCCAGTTAAGTATATTGAATTGATTGTACCTAAAATGCTATAAAGTGTACTTCATAATTACATACTCTTATGTTGCGTAAGTTCCAAGAGTATTTATTTTTTATTGTTTTTATCTGCATTCGGTTTAGACAAAGGAAAGCCACTATTTACAGCTGTTCAAATGCAAAAACGTTTGAATTGGGGTAAATCTAAAATATCCTGGACAACGGAAATGCGGAGTAACGTTACTTTTAGGGAAAAGAGATTTGCTTCAGGCATCACATGAAGAAATGATTGCGCAACGATCCTCAGCGAACAGTTCCAGGATTAAAGGCAAAAACAACTGAAATTTGGAATTTGTTCACCCCAGAATATTGCCAGACTCTAGTGGATTCAAAGGTACAACGTATCAAGGCCGGGCAAAGCCGAAAGTTGATGTTACTTCTTATTAAACTTTGCCTTAATATAGGCGAACGTATTAAAGAGCGTCCGAATATTTATTTGTCAGTAATTTTGTTACATTTTTAGTATTTTGCTACAGAGAAAAATCAGAATAAAGAAAAATGTTTTCCATTGTCAGCCTTTATGTGGCGGAAAGGAATAATGAATTCATTTATCAGTAGAAGAAACAAAAAAATATTTCATCATTGGACATGTAAGATTAAATCATCCGAGATCAGAGTTTAGCAAAATTACGCTTACCATTCATCTGCCCATTTCTGTATCCAAATAATCCATTGCTTTAGTCACGAAAACTTCAATGAGCACTCGAAAAAGTTCACAAAAATCGAAGACGCACTTTAATCTCACAAATATTCATGTGATATTCGATTAGTGATAAATAAAAAATAGCTTTTTGACAAAACCACACGACGGCACGGAAAATTTCACGAAATAATGTATACGAACTTGCTTTTTAAGGAAATCAGTATTTGTTTGCAAAAAAATTGAAATTTTGTGGCAATTTTCGATTTTTATACCGGGCAAAACGCAAGCCGATACTCGATTAAACAGTCACTAGTTCAACTGAGTCACATCGAAATAGACTTACTGCTAAATCTTATGTAACTGAAATATCGGGTAGTGAAGATAGGTTTCTACGGTTTTTTGCTTAAATAGACTCTATTAATAGGTTTACTGATTTTCACAAAGTACGTAAACTAACTGTGCAATTTCGGCATTTATTCGTCAAATAGGTTTCACATTTATCAATTTAATTGAGTGGTCGCAAAACTTGACAATTCTTTGAACGAAAAAGTTTAAAGAGTAAATAAAGGAACAAAGTTTCGTATTAAATGGCTGTTTTAAGGGACTGTACATTTTCTTCTTTAATTGAAAAGGCGAATAACATTTTGTGGTCTCAGAAGTAAATGGGGCTCACTAACAAGTAAGTGGGACTTTCAGCAAAAACCTTATACCGGGCTTCCCGTATAACTCCACTAAATTTCGTGTTGAAAATTGCTTGAATCTCAAAAATGATGTTTGAGATAAAGTTTCTTGAAGAACCCTCAACAAATTCATTTAAATGTAAAACACTGAGGCTTGGAGGCTAATTAGGCATTCATTCGAAATTGAATAAAACTATTTTACGTACTGCACAAGATTCATCAAACCTGGTCATGAAATCATTTTAAACACAAAACACCGCATAAACATTTTTCCAATATCATTTTATACTTACAGTTGCATAAGATTTGAACAGCAAGTCGGTCCGGATGTCATTTCGTTGAATTAGTGAATGTTTAATGGTGGATGGGAACGACAGTGCGTGTTTTGCTCCGTTAAAAATTCGATAATTGCCACAATTTTTAACTTTTGTGCGAAAAATGACTTATTTTCTGAAAGAAAATGCATTTCTTCATTGTAACGTGGAAATTTCTCTACCGGCCGTGCTAAATGAACAACAAAAACGCGATTTTTCAAATTTTCTGACAACCCCTACAATGGATCTGCTATCTTGACCTGCGCCGACTCCGACTAGACGTAGTCACTGGATATTTGGAATGCGGGTTTTGTGGACTTTTTTGAGTGCTCATTTTGAGACTAGCATTGACAGCAATGGACTTTCTGGACACAGGAATAGGCAGCTGAACGGTAGGTAGCTTAACTATTTTTTAAACGTGCATTCTTAACTGCTTTAAACTTAAATAACTCAACAGAAATGGACAGAATATGTTTTTGCTTAAAATAATGTTAGAATATGCTTAGAATTTAGAATAGCAACTTTTCCTCTATGTTGTTTTGAAAGTTTTGTAATTTTCAAAACAACTAATTAAACAACTAATTAACAACTTGCGGAAAATGTTTCACGAAATAATGGTTTTTCAAACTGCTGCATAATCATAAAAAGATCAATACTTTTTTAGTTACCTGCTACATAGTTTTTCCATCTAGAACTTCTATGGCCTCTTGTATCTTTACTCTTAGTAAAATATTCCTCCCTCAGATTGAATTCCTTTGTGTGATAACACAGTTCATCTAAGATTCATATTTTCAATTTTTTCAAACAGTTTCCATTTCCCTAAAATGTGAACCACTCAATTTTCTGGTATCCATTTTCGATCAACCTGTAAGTATATCTACTTACGTCCAATAAAGAGTTTTGTTGGATACATATCAAACACAATTTTTGTTTTAAAATATTAGTGTAATAATGTAAGTAAAAACACATAATAGCCTTTATTATTTACATAAATAACATACATAAATATATGAAATATGCATAAAAATAAGTAGATATTTATAGGTGTTTAGAGTTCTTAAATTTGAAAATTAGTTTCTGACGTGGACCTTTCCAAACAAGTCTTTTGCAACAGATTCATGTTTTTCATCCACACTATCGTCATTATCGATAGCGCGCAGAGTAGCCAACAGTTTTTTCTTGTTCTCCAAGTTTACCATCGATTTCTTCTCCATTTTTCCATTTTTCTCGCGAGACGATTTATTACCCTGCAAGAAAACGTAGCCTGTAGATATTTTAGAACCATATATACTTTACATTTACTTTGTGCTCCATTTGAAATTTGTGTTCTTCATTTAAAATTTCTTTCACGAAATCCATATCATCTTCCAAATTGAAGAATGAGTGTTTCAGTTTTGCCTCTACCTTTTCAGTATTTTGGAAAGTTTCCAGTAGAGTCTGCGTATCGTTTTTGGAGTGTTTCAAGCTATCTTTGTGAAGTTCTATTACTTTACTGCAACTTTTAACGTTGCTCAGTACGTCTGTACAATAATCACCTGAAAGCAAAAGTAATTAATATTTATTAGAAGGAGAAAGTTATTCATGAGTTGAAAATCGCCATTAAAAACGCAACAACCCAATTCCAAGGTTTCCAGGTCTGAATTACGGAAAATTACTTGAAAATTTGATTTGAGATTTGAATTATAAAATTTGTTACATTGCATTATTTAGATTCAATGGAGCAAAGGAATGTAAATATATTTAAGGGGAACACTTATATAGCTCTTGAATGTTAATGTGTCTTCAATATCTTTCGCACTTCCGGGTAAAGTGTATTCCATATTTTTAGAAACAAAACAATCAAATATATTACGTTGAAATGGGTAAATAGTGCCTATTCCGACATATAATCATAACAATTATTATGAAATATAATAAATTCTATAAATAATCTGATAATTTTTAAAAAAATGTGTGATTTAAACAAATTGTAAGTAATTGACTCTGATGCATTAAGCTGAATGTGCTAATGCTAAATGAGGGGTCCACGTACTTAAATTTTTATCAAATTCCTCTTTGGAATTATCGGCAGCTTTTTGTATAGCCATATCTAAATTTTCGGCCATTTTCTCGATATCTTGTTCGGATTCGACACTCGCAGATGTGGACCCATCGCTGCCTCTTCTGGATTCTTCGGACTGATCAAGTAAATTTTCCTGTTCATGGTCACTTTTTTCGATTTGCTGAAGCGTCTCTCTAAAATCAGCATCAGAGGTATTTCCTGACGAACTGTCTTTTTCTGACTCTCCGAAATGTTGTTGGGTTATTTTGGGTCTAAAAATTACAGTTTTCAGTTATTGTCATATTACTCAATAATTACAAATAATATAAAAGTTTCCCCAAATGAAAATATGCCTTTGAACTACATGCATTTAAAAAACAGTTGTATTTTTAATGACTATAAAAAATTTGTTAAAGTTTTTCTGCATCAGCTCAACCAGAGTAGAATTTTGAAAATTACTGCAGTTCTATGTAAAAGTACCTGACGCTATTAATGCAGTCCGTTGATAAGTCCTGCTTATTCCGGTCGTACCACACAACAATGTTTTCATTCTTCACATCTTCATCCTCCTCGTCACTACCATTACTTGGAACCATCCTCTCATTATTAATTTCAACTGTGGTGTCATCATTATCTGATTTCATTTTCGTTCTTATTCTCTGTTTTTCTTGCACGCAAGGAAGTTTTTCCAACTTCATGGAGCTTTTGGGCCTTCCCTTGAAACTACTTGGTGAATTGTCACTACTTTCAGTTGACACATCTGAGCTTTGAGGGTGAGCATTGTTAGTATCTTGATTGAATTTTCCTGAGCCTGCTGAAAGTCTTAATATTTTTTATGTATGGTTAAAATGGGGAAATAATGGGAGCTTTGAGAGCTACCTTTGTCTGATATTTTCCATTGGAGCTTTGAACTCGTTTTGGTTTTTGCGATGTATATTTTCTAGGTCTTTGGCACTGGTTCCATTCGTAATTGGCTCCAGCTTAACTTCGGTAACGGGTGTTTGGGAAGGTAATTTCTCATTACTAAAATTTCTGTTTATTGGTTGATAAGCCTTTAAAGTCGTCATTGATATGGGCTCTTTCATCGGCATTCTATTAAATCTAGAATTTCGTGGACGTACCATATTTTCTTTGGCCTAAAAAAAATGAAACCGCAATCTTATGCCTTCTTAAAAATTTACCTGCTTACATCTAATAAGCCACTAAGTCGATCGATTTCATCAAATGCATGCAACAGCTCCTTTTGACATTGCTTATGCTTAACAATTTCTGAGTTCAACCTTTGTTTCGAAGACTTGCTTTCGAGCAGCAGTTTCCTGTTCAACGTACTCACTTGTTCTTCGCTTTTCTGCAGCTTGATTTTACATTCTTCCATCAAATCAGTCAGCTTCTCCCTTTGGGTGAGATGTTTGTCTCTGTTCAGTTTTTCCAGATGCGCCAGTTGTTCCCTCGCTTTACTCAACTCATCCTCCTTTTGCTTCAGCTGCTCCATCAAATCTTTTACCGCTTTCTTCAAATGTTTATTTTTCTCAGTTAACACTCGGATTTCCTCTTCATGTGAATGTATGAGCCGTGGCAGATCCGAATTGGTGTTTTCATACTTTGAAAGAGCTTTGTCTTGTCTTTTCTGCAGAGTTTTCAACGTTTGATTTTCTCTGGCTACCTCGGCCAAATGAAAATTGGCGTCATTTAATTGGCTTTGCAGTTGGCGCAGTTTCAAAAGCTTTGCAGACATCACTCTCTGTTTAACTGGATTATTTACCTTGTGAATTGTGGGACGCATTGAGTAGGCGAGCGGATTCATCGGTTTTCTTCGCTTGAAAAAACAGCTCGAATTCGAAGTGCAGTTTGTATCGCACGATTTGCTTCTGAAAAAGTGTGCCAAAAAAAAGTTGTAACTAAAAATTTGTTGTTTTGTAATTAGTAGTAGAGAGTTGCAAATGGGACTTTGTTGCTTTAGTGAATACCAACTAGTATACAGATTCATTAAAATTAAGATCACTTCATTGGAATCTCGAAAACGGTTTGAACTATCTAGTCTAGGAAACTATAGGGATTTTGTTCAAAGTATGTACCAAAATCTCGTTTACAAATGGACAGAATTGACAATTTTTTTCTCAGCTTATTAGAATACGCAACTTTTGACTGATGCAATAAAACAAGTAATTTTTCCGGTAAACAAGTAAAATTAAATTTTGTAAATACCGGAAAGCTTTCCCATTACTCAAGCATTGCGGTTTCTTTTACTGCTTCTGAAATATTGATAATTAATATCTGCCTGATTTTAATCCTGGTTACTAAATTCCACATGCCACCAATTTTGCTCTAATGTTAAATATCTCCTGAATTATAAGGAAAACTCATAAACCTTTTCTGGCAAAATCTTAGCATTTAATAGATAACGCATCCCTAATTTAATAGAAACTGTTTCAAAAGTTTTACTCAAATTTGTCTGAAAAACACATTGAAATAAATTTATTATAAAACTCAAATAATCTCAATAGCATTACACTGTTTTCTCCTGTCTGTTCTTCGATTTTAATTAAGTTTTATTAAGCCCAGTATATTTGTATAGCCCAGTAAAGGTTAATTATTGATTATTTTCTTTTTATCTCAGTACTACTAATTTAATAATTACTTTATAATATAAATGTTTTCATTCTTTTGCAAAAAATCATAATTCCATATAATTTTACCAATTTTGCAAACGAAAAAAAATATTTTCTTTGTTGATAAACAATCTAATTTGAAATACCATGATATGATTATTTTCATTCAAATAAGAGTTAGGTACTGCTCAAGTTATAAATGCTCTGTATGATTATAATATGGAAATGCTGCATATTCACTTTTTTGGCACAAGTTTACCATTTACAGGTGAAACACATTAGACTCACATTTTAAGTAGACGAAAAAAATCCTTGATTTACTTTACTTAGTCACTACGCAAAAAAACGATATCTCTTAAGAAAGAATTGATGTTTATTTAATTTACTAGGGAAATTTTATATTTTTTATCTAAGTAACCGTAGCAGCTTTTCTATGTTGAAAAACACTGTGGGCTATTATTTTTTGAACAAATACCTACCTCGCAGTATGTATGATCACCAAAAGTAAAACTAGTGTTATTTAGACATTAGAAACTGTGTGTGTGAACTCGTGTGTGTTCACATATAAGTATGCAATTTCTTTCAATAGATTTTATATCACTCTATCTTAATAACACAGCTTTCTATTTTTTGGTGAATTTATTACTCGTTTGTATCGGATAATCTACGGCCGGAGTTTGTTTACCAAATGATTACTTCTCATCCTGTATGGCTGATTTTTTAATGCAGATTTCTGAGTAGTTTGCTTTTATACTAACGCAATAAATACTTATTCTGTGCCGTTGGTGCAAATAAAGCTGCATTCTTAGTGATACTTATGGAACAAAGATTTGAAATGTAAAAAACCGAATAATAAACATCCGAGCTTCTATTGAAATTTTCCTCAAATATGAGCAAAAAAAGTATGCTGATGAAGTGAAAGTGTATGTGGGTTGGCTGAAGCTTACAAATAGTAATGGAGTACTAACAGTATTCCTACCGATTATCGTTTTGGCTTTGAGACGACAATTTGTGGCCGGAAACACTGCTCGCACAACTGGTTGACATCATTTTTCACTCTCTCTTTGCGCGGAATAAAAGACTATTCGATTATTTCGCCGATTAAAGCATGAATAAACCCCCTATACAAAAGAGCCCGTTTTGGTAGTTTTGTGTTGTAAATTGACAATTAAAAACTGCACTGCGAAAAGTCAGTTTGTGTAGAAAAGTTACGTTGCTGGGTAACTAAAAATCTATAATCAGGTGGAGAAAGAAACTCTGGTTGACTTACATCGAATATATAGGTGAACGTGAACTATAGTATAGTGGTTTGTTCAGTTCGCTGAATAGGAAATTATTATGACATAAATAAAAAACAACAATACACAACACAATAAAACAACAAACAAACAAAAACACATAAAGGATTTAACTTCAATCATCTAGACAGGCCATCGGAGTAGACTAGTTATTGAGAGCTGAGGTTTGATAAATTTTTGCCTCATATTATTTTTACCTCTTATTTTTTCATGCTACTTAACTTATATTTAGCATAGTTAAAACGGCATAGCAACATTTTATAGTAAAAGTAAATAAAACACATTTATAATGCAGTAACAACATCTATTTAATATATTGACTATGATTTTATCAACCTCAATTAATTACTTCTGAACAGTGAAACATCTTTAAAAATCTTACGAGAGTATCGTTTTGAATTGCACCAATAATAGATTTGAAGTCCTTAAGTGGCGCACAGTTAAATTAAAATTACATTACCCAATAATTTGAGTACCTACGTAGCTGTATGGTATAATTAAGTCATCGTTTAACCAAATGTGCGTTTTTAGCTTGGTATTAAGTACTCAGCTAATACTCAAGAAAATAGGGTTTAAGAGATGCAATGATTCGCATCTTATAGAATTGTGGACAATTTAATAATACATGCAAGGAGGCTCATTTAAGAACACAACTGCATAATAGTAGTTTATTCTGCAATTAAAGAAAAACGCACTACGCAGAAATAGTATAAATTACAGTAATTGTAATTTTTCATGTTGAGAAAATATACCTAACAATCTGGTTTCTTTGGAAAATAATAGAAATGGTTTAACATGATAGTTAAAATACTTTATATTAAAGAAATATTCAGTCCCACCAGCTTTTCTGCAGCTCTCCATTTGCTTTCTTGTTTAACTCACAACTGCTTACAGGATTTTTCGCGAGTACATTAATTGTACCTCCGAAAATGATAAAATAATTAAAGTAAATTTGGAACCCCATTATCGAAACTTCAACTAAACGCTGACCGAATATCAGGAAAGTAATTGGACCACTTTGTTACAGAAAAACGCATATTAGCTTATAATGTAGCGAATCAATATATAATTTATTAAACCAAACAGTAAATTTTGATATTTATGTGATTTCATCAAGTTCTTCAATGAAATTCAACTACAAAAAATAATTTGGATATGGGGTTTGTGTTCAATTTATCAAAGTGCCGAATTTAAGCGAATTATCTGCTTTAGCCTTGTGGGGTTTTATTTTGGAGACCCTTTTGATCACACCCACCGTTGCACTCTTAAATGAAACAGCTCAGTATAAATATTCGATAAAAATCGGAGGGTCACTGAATAATGTTTAATAATACTCTCTGAGGTTTTTGCTGACGAACCAAGGTCAAATTTGTGGATATTCATCCTTAATTCTAAAATTAACAATCTCACATTAATAACACAGAAACATTGTAAGAATTTAGACTTTTTCGATTACGTATAGAACCCCTAAAGTCTACAATAATAATTAGTAACATAATTTAACACCTATTGATTTAGTTCTATTTTGGCGCTCCACCTAAATAGTTACTTTACATCACATTTCAACAAGTTATTGTCTTGAATAACTAAGGCTATACTTTCGATTTGTTACTTTTAAATGGAATCGCATGCAGCACTGCAAATAGTAACTGTGTTTCAAGTACTGGCAATATTGATATTTAAGTAACTAGAAAACAAATACAGGTATGTCATATTTAGAAAATATTACTGTAGTTGACGTAAACCTCTTAAAGCTAAACTTAATATTAATCGCGGAAGGTTTAAATCGCATAGACAATCGTCCTGAACCAAGTACGCGTGCTCCCATTGTCCCTAATTATTCAATTTACAGTAAATAGGTACAAGGACAATATAAACACCACTATTCCAACTATAGTAGTCGTTTTGAATGTGAATTACTTCTAACAAATAACACCGATTAAAGGCAAAGGCAGTTCAGGTAGGCTTTCCCAATTAAAAATATCGTTTTACCCTGCTGAAATTTTGTTAAGTATTGGATTTATAGCATCAGGGCACAAACTTTATAGGAATTAATACACATTCAGGCCTCTGTTACAAGCATCTTGTATCAACCACTTACATTAATATTTTTATTTGCCGGTCTATCGATTCTTATATCTCCACAAATGGGTTTATTGTTATACCGACCCAAATAGATGTTTGCATGCATTGGACTGCTCAAATCAAATAATTTCGTTGTGCAAACTTACAACCTGAAGAAATAGAAATTATAATACACACTTTGTCGTTAATGTGTTCAATGCTTAAACAACAGAATCTATAACCGGCAATGTGGGTTGAATGATTCCTCCGGGACCAGGTAGTGTAGTTTTGCCTTCATTTAAAAACATATCCACAGCTCGAGCCGCTTGACGGCCCTCAGATATCGCCCAGACAACCAACGATTGTCCTAGAAGAGAACGCAAGTGTATTCAAGCTATGAGAAATTGAAAACTTCATTAGGCAATACCTCTTCGACAATCCCCGGCCGCAAACACGTTATTCACGTTCGTTCTGTAATTGTTGGCACTGAAGTTTGATCTGGGATCGAGTTCCAGATCCAATTGGTCTCCTATCGCTCTCTCGGGTCCTAAAAAGCCCATTGCAAGCAGCACCAGATCTGCTTTGAAGACTTTCTCACTTCCTGGCACGGTGTTCATCTGCCATCGGCCACTTTCGTCTTTCACCCATTCAACATTCACAGTCTTTACCCCTGAAAATATTTGAAAATAGTTCATTATTGATGGCTTATTATGTCTTCAATTAAAATACGAAGCAGCGAAAGCAAAAATCCCGCTAATGGGTGCTGCCTTGAGTATGACTTCATTCTCAGTTTATATTTTTTGGCTTCAGCAATTGCTTTTACTTTCATTCTACAGCAATTTGCAGTGTCTCAAAGGGTGCCAAGCTTTAAAGGTATTGTCGTGCAGGGAAACCCCAGTATTACAAGGGAACCCCATTCTGCTGATAAAAAAATGGCGTGCACAGCGGAAGAGCGCGTATCGTGCAGGGGAACCCCCTTTAATCGGTTATAAATAAGTCTGCACAGTGGGATTAAGGAGAGTCAGTCCCGTTTTTTCTCCAGGTTGCATTCTGCATGATCAGGTTGTTTCTGGGGCGCACTTCGATTTACTTTACTTTAAGTGATCAGAACCCGGCTGATTCCAACTTTTAATTATACAAAAGTGAATTAGATTTTCGCCGTTCATATGCGAATATTTTCTTTGTCTAGCCAGACCACGGTTTGCTATAGAAAAACTATATTTAGCGAGTGCCAGGTGGTTCCCGAATTTAAGGCAGTGTTTTTCTCGAAATGAAAGATGTGCGGCCGAAGGAAATATCGTAAAGGGGTGGCCCTAAAAATATCCCTCGCAAAAACATTTTACTACTAAGAGACTAATAAAACAGCAAGAATGAATCCGCGGTCATCGGACAGCGCCACGAGACAAAAATATTATCAAACAAGGATCTTCTACGGATTCCAGCCGAACCTTGGTGGAAATAACGAACCAAAGTGTGGGCCATTCTCCGGCATTATCCTGAATGTCGTCATCCTCCAGCAATTTTCGTGTTTTTTCTGGAACTTTTTACTCACTAGCTTCGGAACATCTGAATATATTTTTTATGCAGGGTGTTAAGAATTCGATGAATTAATCCTGCTAACTTTGGATTGGACGCAATTGATTTAGACACAAAAACCGAAAGTATCTCTAGTATACAAAGCCAAGGTGTTTTTTGTTATTATATTCATGCCGGCACAGACACTACCCGTGTTTTCTTGAAAAATCTGAAGAGTGTCAAATACGCACATTTTTTTGCGTTTTAAATATCTTTAAAGAACTGTAAAAATACTCCAAGAGTATCAACTGCTGATAGTAAAACATTCGCAATGTTCTCGATTAGTATGCAAACCGATTTAGAAGAGGAGATGTTTAAGAAACAAATTTAACAGAAATGTTCAAACGGGCTTACCTTTGACATGTCCATTACCATCATCCAAAAACTCTTGAGTCATGATACTGAACACACGAGGATCTGAGCCAAACCTCACTTTGACCTCTTCATGTCCGTAATCCACTCTAAAGACTCGCGGCCACTGTGGCCACGGATTGTCGTTGGATCGATTCGGTCCAGGTTGTGGAAGAATTTCGAAAGTCGTGATTGAAGCTGCACCCTGGCGAAGCGAAGTTGCGATGCAGTCGCAACCGGTATCTCCACCTCCTACCACAATTACATGCTTGTCTTTAGCATGCGGACCGTCGTGATTGGCTCCACCTTGCTTCTTCTGCCAACTTTCCAGAAATTCCATAGCGAAATGAATTCCATTTAGTTGGCGTCCTAGAATATTATTAATCGTTTTCTATTTGCGTATTCTTTAGGGGGTTACTGAGTTACTTTTAGGGCTCACTTGGAGAGTACTGGATTGTTTTATTTGAAAAAAATTCTCCTAGTTTTAGCTCTTGAAGATGCACTTTGCCATTAAGCAATATTTTTAAGGAGCTCAATAGTCATTTGGAAAACCTCTAGTAAAGCTAAATAGGTATTACAATACAAACATTACGATACTTTTTTAAATTTCATTAAATTAGCAACAATTCAGTTGGAAAGAATTACAATTTCATATATTTTTATGGAAAAATTGCAACCGCAAGCATCCAGCAGATATGTCATGACATATGTATTAACGTTGTAGCCCATTTATGGTTAGTTTCTGAATTGTGCTCTTCAAAGCGTAAAATGTATTTCTCAGCTCTTTCTTTATGTAAACATTCTTAAACTTACAACTCACCAACAACAAGATTTTGTATAAAATTAATATTTAAAAAACCACAAGTTTTTAAGTATCTTATTAAAGTATAACTAAAGTATAAATTTGAACAACCACTCAACAAGT